CATACATAATGAAGTGATAACCACTTACTGACCAGGGTACATAAACAATGAAGTGATAACCACTTACTGACCAGGGTACATACATAATGAAGTGATAACCACTTACTGACCAGGGTACATACACAATGAAGTGATAACCACTTACTGACCAGGGTACATACATAATGAAGTGATGTAACAGCTTAATTTATCAGAGCTTCCCACTCTTCAATATGGTTGCCACCTGTTATGTGTACATATTATATGGAATCTTTTCTTATTCAATAGTAAAATTACAAGCGTGATCTGTTTCTTACTTTGCTTTCATGTATCACTTGTTTTTAAACCTTAGGTTCTGACTTGACAAAAATGTATATCAATGCATGATGTTAGGAAAACACACAAGTTCAACAGATCAATTTAACATAAAAATATAAAACCCTATAACCATAGCACTTTTGAAAGATGGACCTTTTTTTTTTCATTCTCAGTTATAGAATACATTTTCCTTATAATGTTTGGAGACGGCTTGAATGGGTAATGAAGAAAAACTTTAATATAAGTTTAACATAACAGCAAATCTCCCTTATGGCAAACACAGTATTTATTTTGAACTTGAACTTGGTTTGAAACATTAGTGAGTTTGTATAAGAAATATTAATTATAATCTAGCTGACAGCTCATATCATCTGTGACTTAAAAAACAGGGGGGAGTCAATAATGATGGAAGTGATTTCTTGTAATTCATTAGTTACATACTTTCAGGCTGCTGTACACAGCTATTTCTGTTGTAGTCATCCATCCAGTTCCCTTGTGGTCGCAAGATTTCTGTAAAAGTTATAAAAGAAATTGTATCAACATTTTTCATGCAAAAAGTTTTCTTTTTAGTTTTGCTGTAAACTTTCATGTATATTAATTACCCTTATTAGCTTTAGGTGTTCTTTTGAATAATGAAGTCAACTGAATATATTTGAGACATAAACATTTGTACTAATTTAAATGTTCCTTTCTAAAATTCCAATTTTTTCTTTATTTTCACTACATATAATATAAACACTGACTAATGATTACTTATATCTTGTGGGTTAATAACATAAAGATAATACCATCCAGATTTAAAATTAAATTTCACGGTATGTAATAATTCTATTTTCTTAGCAAAAACGTAGTTGATAAAATGTTGATCATCTTAGAAAAACACTTCCAATTTGATAAACACATTGAAACCTTTGCTACAGGTTTAAATGTATGGAATTTAAGCTTTGTTTGTTTGGTTTCAGATATTCACGCTACTTAATGGCTATTTGTACTAGCTGCCTGTAATTTTGAACTAATGAAGTAGCTGGGAAACGGATAGTTAATAGCACTAGACAAGAGTTAGGCTTACTCTGTGGTAATTTGTATTTTTGAGAAGTATTACCTGACTTTATAGTGGGAATTGATCATCACTCTTATAAAGCCCCCAAAGTGCAGAGTGAAATATTTTTTTGTAACAGGATTTAAATCATGGATCTACAGATCCATAGCCTGGCAGGTTAACAACTGGGCCATGTTTGACCTGAAATATAAGTTGTGGCATCAATCATGCTATACAGAAAATTGTGACACTCAAATTTTTGATTTCCTTAGCTTAGTGTGAATCCTGAGACATCTTACACACACCTAAATGAGTGCTCTACCACCCGTGGTAAAGGATTAGCCCACTAATGTTTGTTATTAAGGCACTCTTTAAAAATTCAAATAACCAATACATAAAATAACTATACACTATGCTTAACTAATACATAAGGAACAACTGGAAACAAACTTAGTTAAAATCAAAAGCCAATTCTAGATAGAATGCTTATTTTTAACTGATAAAGAAATATATCAACACTTACCATTTGCAGTACACATTCCAAATGAAACATCACCTTTTTGTGTGGTGGAACCTTTGCGATCATCCTTGTGAAAGATGGCTGGGGATATGGCTTTTCTTCTTACGGTTTCATACATTGATTGTAATTTATGATACTGTCGACTCCGCTCCATCAACCTTTCTGATAGTTCAGCAGCTCTTCGTTTTTCGGTTTCCAATTCTTCATTTTTTGCTGCAATATTAATTTATTAGATGCTAACTTTTAAAAGTAAGTTAGTGATAATTCACAGTTATCTCTAGTCTTACTTTTTATTACACCTGGATTAAATATTTTTTTTTACAGATTTCTCACTACAGTAATTCACATTGAAAGGATATACTGAGATTAACTCAAACGTTATTTAAAATCACGATAAAGGTTATTATTCATTTCACAAAATATTTGATTTATACTTCAGAAAAGAGCAGTAAAAAAAATTGCAATTATAACAATCTTTCAATTTTTAAATAAGAATGTGATATTTGATCATCAAAAGTTTCAAGTTTGATTTTAAATACAAAACAGTAAGAAGCTCTACAACTTACGAATAATGGCCTGATGAATTACGACTACTATCATTACGACAGTGACAAATCTTTTAAACACATGCTAGTATTATTTACTATGAAATTAAAGGAAAACGTTTAACTCTTGAGTTTCTAAAAATGATTAAACTTTCATGTTATTTCACAGTTTTTTATCCAAATACACTATGAAACACGTTAATATAATTAGAAAATTAACAATTTCGTTCCAACATACGTACTATTACTGAGTGAGGAGGCATTAACCGTGGTAACTTTTTCTGTAAATAACTTGCCTAATAATTTGAAGATGGCATGACATAAATCATTGTGCAATGTTGATTCAGAGAAATTTTAAACAGCTCAAAATCTGCCTGGTCATACGCAGTATACTTACTTTCAAGTTGTTGTTTAGCATCTAAATAGAATGAATATTAAAGAAAGATATTTGAAACATTTTCTACAAATTATTTGTTTCTGCTAAAACAAACTAGTAAAAACAATGCATTTGATTTAGGTTTTTGTTGTTGCTGAAAACATCTACAGCTTCAGTAACTCATTTTAATTTGATTTCAGCTACGACAGTTCAACTAGAGAGAGGATTAGATGTGATAAAGGATTACAGTCAAAAAACGAAACTTGGGGATAGAACTTAAAATTCTGACTGTTCCTAAGTTTCAGTGTTAAGTTAAGTACTTTTTGTGTGCATGAAAGCTGGTGTTAATAATGACTCACTATGTAGTATTTCTAAAATATCTTGTAAAACAGATATTCCAGTGATACCTGTTGTTTCAGTTATCGTGTCATTTTTCCAAACTTTTCTGTATAACTTCATTAAAAGTTTGTTTGGATACTAATCTATAAGAGAAGAAATTACTGAAATCGTCCCTCAAAATGATCTGGGTTTTTGGTAACTTTGACTTTCCAGTTGCCCAAATTTTTTATTGCCCAAGTTATAAAAGGGGAAACAATTTAAAACTTTTTTTAATCACAACTTCAGCATCCTAAAACAGACATAAGAATAAGCTTCCTTTATAGACCTACAGGAACAAGGGCTTTCAAAATTCTGAGTTCTATCATGAAATATATCAACCAACGCATTCCTTTTAATCTGTAATAAATAAAGGTTTTTTTTGGAAACTGAAATACTTCAGAAGGATACATGATATTTCTGTCTTTGCTTTTTCTAAAACCTGTTCATAATACTGCTCCAGTTGAGCCAACCGCTCCTTATTTTTTTTTGCTGTGTACTCTTGATACATAATTTCCTGCTGCATCTGAGGAGAAATTTTTTAAAACACTGAATGATACGTATCATGTGACTTGAAAAATATCACTAATTTTAGAAGACCAGTAACTAGATCTGTTCAAAATCTACAAAAATAACAGAAAGCAACAAACACGAGTTATTGTTCAAGTTTTTTCCAAGACTTTATATTCCTAAACTGTACAAATTATTGGGTATTGCTTCTGAACAAAAATAAGCTAACTCGACAGATCAAAAATAAAATGTAAATCAATGAATTCTATACAACAAATTGTTTATATCTAGAGTGAAGCAGACAATGCCATAAATTAACATACACAAAACAATTAAAAGTTACAATGATCTGAATGCATTGAGTACCTTGCTATTAAATTGATGAAAATAAAAGAACACATTTTAAACCTTTTCCCCCACAAAGGCCTATACTGTTTAGATATATTGTTTAAAGGCTTGTAATGTTTAAATGATCTCCACAAAGGCCTATACTGTTTAGCCTTTAAACAATAGTTCTCCACAAAGGTTACAATCTCCAGCCTTTAAACAATATATCTTGTAATGTTTAAATGATCTCCACAAAGGTTTATAATCTCCAGCCTTTAAACAATATATGTTGTAATGTTTAAATGATCTCCAGCCTTTAAACAATATATGTTGTAATGTTTAAATGATCTCCACAAAGGTTTATAATCTCCAGCCTTTAAACAATATATGTTGTAACGTTTAAATGATCTCCACAAAGGTTTATAATCTCCAGTCTTTAAACAATATATCTTGTAATGTTTAAATGATCTCCACAAAGGTTTATAATCTCCAGTCTTTAAACAATATATCTTGTAATGTTTAAATGATCTCCACAAAGGTTTATAATCTCCAGCCTTTAAACAATATATCTTTTAAAGTTTAAAATTATCTCCACAAAGGTTTATAATCTCCAGCCTTTAAACAATATATCTTGTAAAGTTTAAAATTATCTTCACAAAAGCCTATACTGTTCTTCAATTCTAGTGACATTTTATATCTTTCCTGTTTATATATTTATTTTTATGATGATCTCATTTTTATTATTTTTATTTTCAATTAAAATTGATTTAATTAAGAGTAGAAAAAATTTTGGCATAAAAATATTAGTATATTAATTCATAAAATGTAATTTTCAAATTTAAAACAGGGACTTTGTTCTTAGATACCCTTTTGTGAATTTTAACCAATTAAATCTCAGAAAATGTAATTACATCTTAAATCAAAAACATTTTTAATCTTACATGATTATAGGCTGACTAGTTAACATACAAAAATGCCCTGACTTGTACTGTCAGTGTCACCTTCTATCAATGACCAGTTTTGAAATTGAAAACTTACCTGTAGTACATGACGCTACTATTGTAAATGATCCAAATACCAGTATTATAAGATACTGTAATATAATAGTGAACTAAGTAAGACTCCAAAATAGTTGTATTTTTACAGTATATAAACGAAGTAGTCAGCTGATTCATGTAACAAAACACTAACCAAATGTAATATAGTGTATTACAGTATATCTGTAACAATATAACTGGAAAACAGTCAAATTATCAGAAATAAACAGAACTACAAAAAAACCTCAATAATTCCATGCAGCAGACTGAATTATGAACAAAGAAAGGATTAAAAAAAGAAGACAAAAAAGGAAGTCTGAATATGAACAGGGAGAATATATAAAAAAAGACTAAATTATAACTAGGAAAGAAGGCAAAAAAAAGAAAAAATTTAATGATGAACTACGAAAAAGATATATCAAAGGAAACAACAGAAATTTTAAATTAGAAAAGGCTTGAAAAATAGATTAAAAAAATAAGTGCTCTCTTGTAAAATAAGTAAATAACAAATATTGTAATATTGTTTTTAATAAATGTTGGTGACAAAAGATACCCCAATGTTCTATTTTTTAGGTGCTATCACTACAGCCTTTTGAGGTTATTATTATTTGTTTTGTTTTTTTGTAAGGTGTTTGATAATTTCTGTATTTTCATCACTATTTTGTGGCTTATCGTAGATGTAGTTTTTCTGATATGTTAGATCACTCTACGTATGTAAATAAACATACCTGATAATTCCAAAAAGAAATAGCCCTGCTACAAATTTCATGAATAACTTCTGGTTTCTGTCCTACTAACACCATCTGTGAAATTGTAATGATCTGTTATCATTTGCTAGCTTAATAACTTGACAAACACATATAATAAACACAAAATAAATCTGATTACTTAATTCTTTATAATGTCATTTATGATAAAAAAAAACTCAAACATTTAGTAGCACACTTTTGGTCATGCCTTTCTGAAGGAGTCCCAGTTTTCAAACATTTAAACACTGTATAAGAAAAATAAGACACTCTACGGTCTACTTTACTTTAACCAAGCTTACCGACTTGTACTGCTCTGTTGGATTCATATCCACTCTGATAATATCAAACTTCTCCTGCAACACCGAGTCACCTACAGAAACAGTAAAGTGATAAAAGTGGTTTTTCTGTCACGAAGGTGTTGTGTTTAAACAGCTGCAGAAAACATTGGTGTGATTTAATTCTCATTAAGTTGTAAAGGAAATTTGTTTAAATTGAACTGACTGAGAAGGTTCACAATAAGACTCGCCCTATGGTGACATAAAACTTTATGTCGTCATTATGCTGTTTAGATAAATACTCAGTGTTTCAAAAGACACAATTCTTGTTCACCTATATTTTTCTATAAATTTAAACAAACAAGTGATACTTACAAGCAGGGCAAACAAATGCCTTTTCAAATTCCCTAGTTCCATCTTCATTACAAAAGATATGTACAATCCGAATAGTAAGGTAAACAGTTTCATATTTTTAACATTTTTCTTTTATCATATTCTAACATTTAAAAACTTCAGTGAAACAAGCACAAGGTGCATCATCACATAAATGGTTCTCAAACCTTGTTCTTGGACCACCTGTTTTTTTTTTTGTTTTTTTTTACCGCGGGGGGACCAGATCACAATTGGATCTATACATTATTCTGCTACTTCCTTACGATAGCTCTCCTGTGGCACTGTGGCTCAGTAGTAAGTCTGAAGGAACACACAGACAGCCAGCCATTTGTGTAGCAACAAACAAACCCTTTTCGTAATTATGCAACCTTTCCATCATTACAAATTAAAGACTGGGAACTGGATGATTTTACTTGCTAACAAAAAGACAACACTGGCGAATAAAGGGTTAATAAGAAATAAGCAAACATAAAGCTTATCTTTCAATTCCCTAAATTCGCATGTACTCCTCTTCATTTCAGTGTACTTTTAGTCCGTCTCATTTATCTATATGCCAAAATCAGTATTTTTTTTCTGTTTGTTTTGAACCTTGCACAAAGCTACACGAGGGCTATCTGCGCTAGCCGTCCCTAATTTAGCAGTGTAAAACTAGAGGGAAGGAAGCTAGTCATCACCACCCACCACCAACTCTTGGGCGAATATACCAACGAACAGTGGGATTGACCGTCACATTATAACGCCCCTACGGCTGAAAGGGTGTTTGGTGTGACGAGGATTCGAACCCGCGACCCTCAGATTGCGAGTCGAGCGCCCTAACCACCTGGCCATGCCGGGCCTATTTTTATTTAATTATTTTTTTCCTGTTACTCTTCGTTTTCCGTATGCCATAATTCCTAACTTTCATATTCGTGCCTTACGTTGCTGGCAGACAACACGTGTGTGAAACCATATGAAAGTGGATAAACATTTCACAGGACGATTGTCGAGTGAAAAAATGGTGATATACACGTTACCGATAATGAAGAAGATAGCAAATCATTGGGAGAGAAAAAAAAAGCAAACAAAAAAATAGCAAAGCGGTTGGAACAGACGGGAAATATTCCGGCTACCAATTTTTTCTACTATTATTACTGCTAACTATATCTGTGAGAAAGGTGGTAAGTTTCATAATGTACATTTTTGTTGGTATTGCTCATAGCAACACGACTGTTAATAACAGCAACACGAAAATTAAATCATTTTGTTTTTGTTGAATTTCGCACAAAGCTACACGAGGACTCTTTGACCTACAGTCCGATACACTCCACTTAAAAAGCAAATAATTACTAATACATAGAAAAAAAATATAGTCTACTCTTTAGTCGAATAAACAGAAATGTAATGAAAAGGCAGTCTTTCACCTCCACAAAAGTTAAACCCCACGAGCTTCCGAGGAAGAAGCCCTCTGGTCCCCCCACAGCAGGTACAGTTGATTCTAGAATTGTGCTGTTTGCTTGTTGTTAAGTACAAAGTCACACAATCCAGTTTTTAACGTTATAAACCTTTAGACTTATCGCTGTGCCACTGGGGGAGGGGGTGGAAGCTGCCATGTGATAATGATTTGCTTTTTTTACGTTACGCTGACATCTATTTTCAGTGTATCCCCTCCCCAAAATAAAAACAATCCGAAAGAGTCCTCCGATTAGGCAAAATCTAAAAGCGACACAGCTGTCGTGTAAAAGGGAACCTCCCAAATTTAGAGTAATTAATTTTCCATATGTTTGTAATTTATGCACAATGGGCTTCTGTGCTCTGCCAACCACGAGTATCGAAACCCAGTTTCTAGCGTTGTAAGTCCACAGACATACCGCTGTGTCACTGGAGGACATTTTCCATTTTAACAACGAACAGAAAGTTACTTAACAGTTATTCTGTTTCAATAAGTGTTTGATATTTTGTATAGCATAGACAGCTGGTATGGGTATTAAAAACTTTAATTAAAATAAAGTACAAGAACAACGTTTCGACCTTCTTAGGTCATCTTCAGGTTAACAAAGACAGTTTAAAACTGACCGTTACTGGGCACATATCTTAGGGAAAAGAGCAAGAACAGGTACGATATTGTAGGAGGCGTAGCAACTGGATGTTAGGTGATTTATATAGGTATTCCTTTATATTAGTTCAATTTTGGTTTGGATTATTGTATAAATAGGGTTTCTTTGATTTTTCATTTGTTTGTCTTTGTTTTCCTACTTAATATGTTGATGTTTTCTATGGTTATGTTGTGTTTATTTGTTTTACAGTGTTCAAAAACGTGGGAAGGTGTTTTTCCGTGTTCATTGAATCGGGTTTCCATTTTTCGGCTTGTTTCTCCGATATAGAAGTCGTGGTAGTTGTTGCATTGTATTTTATAAATAATGTTGGTGTCATGTTTGTCAGTGTAGTTTTTACATAGCATGGATTTTAGTTTTGTGTCCGGTTTTTAAGTGAATTTAATGTTTATTGGAATGTTATGTTTTGTTGTAAGTTTTCCAAATTGATATTTTAGTGTCTTTACAACGCTAAAATTCGGGGTTCGCTTCCCCGCGGTGGACACAGCAGATAATCCAATGTGGCTTTGCTCTAAAACAAACAAATAAATTTTAGTACCTAGTTTGTTTGTTTTGGAATTTCGCGCAAAGCTACACGAGGGCTATCTGCGCTAACCGTCCCTAATTTAGT